GAAAGGGGAGGAAAGGTTATGAAGTAAAGGAAAAACTTGTATTTTTAATAAAGATAAACATTATATACAAGATAAAGTTACATCTGATACATTTACCAGACAATTATGTACAAGTTCAAATACTGGATTTTAATGAACATTATATTCATAATCTTATTTACAACACAGAACCTCCATTATAAAATATTCTTCAAGACCTTTACAACAACAACAACAAAAGAAAAGTTTTGTCCATTACACTTGTTGATTTATCTCATGCTAAAATGTTTTCCCATGAGTTTGCTAGCCTAACAGTTATAGAATAAAACCTTAATAGCAGTTGTAACAAATCCACTTTCTTCTCAAAAGAATAATGAACTATCTATTAACATTATGACAATGATGCCTTAGAGAATAATTTCAATATACTTGTCACAGTTGTTTGACATGTCAATTGAGTCAGGTCATTACACAGGTACTACTATATATAACATGTTTTCTTCACCTGCTTAAATGATCATTCTTTAAAGTTGAAATTAAAATATTCAAAAACTAATAATGACTGCTTATTTTGCCCCTATAAATAATTAGTCATCATGTTGATTGCAGCTGCTCTGATTGAAATAATAGTATATACTACATTAAATTACAAATTTGATGTATTATCAAAAGTACATTTATTATTAACAGATTTTTAAATTACCTTACATGAATTAAATTAATTGTATAAAAATTCCTTGATATGCTGCTTAATTTTCTGCTTGACCTCCATATTATTAAACTTCCCCGTAATTGATTTTCCACTGTGGTTGGTAGACTGTCAGCTCACAACACACCGAAAGTCGTATCTCATTGAATATACTGATCAAAATTTTTTCCATCAAACTAACATCAGAGTGACTTCTTGAGCTTGAGATGATACCACCTCTTTCATTGTCTACCCTCTACCCCTACACTCTTTTCAATCTCCACAACACTCGTCACCTCACTAGCCAATTAAGCAGTCAATCTGTCCTCTTTCTCAACACTGTTAGCAAGTATGGGCTCTTGAATATACCAGAACATGTGCCAGTATCAATTAAGTCTGGCAGTTTATTTCACGAGTTCACAATTATTATGTCAAAGAAACTGGGCAGGCATTTTTCTTTAGTTAAAGCTTCTTTCACTGGAGGCTGTTCTCTCTCATGAGGATACCATCCACAACTTCCATTCGAGTATCTAATATCTTGCTGTGTAATGTCCTTTAAAGTGTCTTATAAACGTCTACTAAAATGCTCCTTACTCTTCCAAAGTAGAAGCAATGATGATCCAATCTCTCTTGGTAAGCAAGGGATCTGGTACCAGTTTGGTAGTCCTTGCCAATAGTTCTCCAAGTAAGGAAGCATTATACCATAGGAACTTCATGTAGTATGTCCCACCATCTCATTTGGAGTTTTCACCTTCTCACAATGATCTGAGAACATCAGTTTATTGTAAACACCCAGATCTTTCTCACACTCCCAACATTCTCTACTTTGCAATATTCAACCTTCCTATAATGCTTGACTATCTGTTACATTACCACCACATTCCAAGATCTGTGACCACACAACCAGCAGTTAGGTCAGGGTATAAACCTGAGATGGAATTCCTTCACAAGGCTGTTTCACTGTAGATGATCCATAATGGCATTGCATATAATGCTATCTAGTACTTAAGCTTAAGCTCAATGGCCTGTAATTACTAGTGCAATGGTGATTGCCATTTTCATATACTAATTTCCAGTCCCTGGTGATCTTTGGTTCATCCATTCTTCTGCAGAACACAATTTAAGGAGTTCTGAGAGCCCATTGCACAACCCTCTTAACACCGAGATGTACAATATCAGGGGTCAGTACTTTCATGAACCTCTTACAGTAGGTCACTGCCACAACCCCAGTGTAGCTTCAGATGAATAATTTCTCTTAATCTTTCAGCTGGTTCTTCAGTTTTATTAAAGATATTTAGATTTTTTTCTGTGGTCTGCAACAGTCTCACCTTCAAGACAATACAGTACCGATGAACAAAAAGCCTAGCGTGCCAGAGAGCCTTTCATGGAAATTAGCCAACATGCCCAACACTTACAAGAGAGTTAATCTTCTCTCTTTCTTTTCTTTCTTTAACTCGTCTAGAAGAGAGCCTGATATTGCCAGAAGACGGTAGCGCTGACGGAGGTTACGTGCCCTGACATGGGTGGAGGAGATCTCAACAGTGAAGCTTCCTGGGAACCATCCTCTCTCTTGGTCCCTGATTCTCTCTCCTTGATACCAACCTAGGAATAAAAATGAAAATAAATCATTAATAATGTGTCAAGCTTATTCATGTTAGTCTCAGAGCATTTTGCAAATAAATCACTGTCTAAGAAAAGATTAAATATTGCTGTATATAAACCCCATTAAATAAAATTTAGGTTAGCGGTGATTTATGAAACAAATTCCCAATACATACTGCTATATGCTCTATAAAGTAAAAAGTAAAAATAGCTGCTCTTATTGCTGATGTACAAGTAAACAGTCTTCTAAATATCTAAACTCACCTGTTTCATAGATATTTGACAGTCCATACAACTACAGTATACAGTAATGGGAAACAATTACCAGATGTACAAAAACTTTCCATGAATAGAAATCTTATATGTACTTGATATGTTGCTGTAATTGTACATTTAATTCTACTTAAGAGTCTTAAATTATTATGAAACCAGTTGCAATAATTTGTATTTCAGTCAAATCATGAAAAACTAAATTTAACACTGATATCAACAGAGTACCTACTTGTTATTAATTTATTTTTCATGCAGAATCAAGGAACTGTTTTAAGCATCTGTGATCATGATATTACAGTACATTATATACAAATCAAACATGCATTACTATTCACTTCTCTCCCTGCAGGCATAATTGCAAAGTAGGCATGCAAATACAACCTCTTAAGGTGTTAAAAAATATATATAGCCATATTGGACTAAGTTAAAAAGCCTGTCAAACTTCAGAAATAACTGGACAAAAAAGGATGGTGTGACGATACCTGTTAGCAATAAGAAACAAGCAAGAGAGATAATACGTCTCTAAAACTACAAACTTATCACTTTTTTAGGAATGGTGTAGTAGTGAGGGTGATACTAAGCTGTGTGAAGCATGGATATACCAAAAGGATATTTCTGGTCTTGTTGTGGAAAGGAAGTACCATGGTAGAGCACATATGTTAAAGAAGTAAGAATGACAGGGAATGAAGGAAGATCATGTGTGTGTGTACAGGTTATTTACATTTGATTCCAGCCACCCAGCATTATATCACTTCTTTTTTTTAAAGTAGTAGTAGGAGGGATCATATAATTTCATGTATTGATGCATAGTGTATATGCCTAATACTACAGGATATATTTGTTTGGTTAACACAAAATCCTTGTTCATTCACATCAGTTAATAATGTTATACAAGATATCTACATCATTTCCTCACATTCTAAGTTAATTTCCAACAGTTATCATTAAATGTGCTACTCAAATCCATACAGTACTTCTCTTTTATTATTTCTTTCCACCTTACATAATGTCTCCTAAAAATACACTACAGTAGTACCCCGATTTACGCGGTCAATTGAACCCATGGGGTACCGCGGAAAGTGAAAACTGCGTAAAGTGAACAGCAGAACATATGGGATTAATTCCAATAGAGACTGGCCCGACCCCCAAACTCCACTTTTTCAGACACAATACCTACGTTGTAGTAAAAATAACTTCTTAATTTTATGATAGTATGCACACACAATTAATAATTAAGAGAAATATCAATAATATTAGTTTTTTTAACACTTACATTAGTAGAAAAGATGGCTGGGCACACAGGGATGAGGGGTTGGTTCTGAGGCAGAGGGCAGATTACTGGCCTTCACCTGTATCAATTGTATCACTATCCACCACATAGGCTTGCAGGGCCTCTTTGTCAAACCCCTCAAAGTCCATACAAGTCCATATCCTCACTATCACTATCACTAACTTGGGCCGGCTGTGGTGGGTGGCGGGTGAAGAACTCGGTAATGTTTTGATGACTGGGCGACCTTGTGCGCATCCTGCCCGCGCCACTTCCCGCGTATATGAGTAGATGCACCGCGTAAAGTGAAAGTCCGGTTCTGGCGAGGTACCGCGTAAATGCGGAATCGCGGAAAGTGAAACCGCGTAAAGCGGGGTATTACTGTATTATGTGATTTATAATCTTGATAAAATCACACAGGAAAAGGGACACAATGGAGCACCTTAGCTTTCGTCTTTATTCAAAACGAAAGCTAAGGTGCTCCATTGTTTCCCTTTTCCTGTGTGATTTTATCAAGATTTATCCTGTCCGCATTTCCATTGTGGATCTACATGGAAGATGATTTATAATAAATCAAAATCATCTACTTGCTTAAAAAATGCCACATTCTGTGTTACATATCTGTATCACAAATCTAGTTACCAGCTCTGCAACAGAAAACTTGCTCAATATCTACATTAAATGTCTGTCATAGCACATCTTACAGGTCTCCCTCCTTAGATCATCTTGGAGGAAGGCCGAGGGAGTATTGTGAATGTGGGGTTTGATTTGCTGGGGACAAAGGGTAGAGCCTAAATCTGACCTACAGTATACGAGTAATTTGAATGCCAACAACCTGCAAAATCTTCTCATTGGAATGTAAACCATAAGATATAACTCTATCCAATCTCATATACACAGTAATATGAACATCCTCTTGCAGTTGGCCGATTCAGTTATGTGGGTTCTGTGTGCATCTGAATCTCATTTCAAATAAAAAAAGCTATCATGTTTACTGTACAATACAGTACCTTAAAAAATTATAATAATTCTCTTTATAGATCTATAATTTCAGTGAAGTGAAAAACTTCCTTGGAAACTTTAAAAATACCAGAAGGGAAGAGAGTAAAAGAAGGAACAATCAGCAGCTGCTGATTTTTTCTGTATCAATATTGCATCAAACACATACCATTTCCATTTTCTGAATGAAGAAAATAAAAATGTCGATGACCTATTAATGGCATCATGAGAATCTAAGTAAAAGTTATTCAGTGTCTAATTAATGGTATGTAGTAACAAAACATTGCATCAAGACAGTGAACGAAGGCAGGTACACTAGCGTGTAAATTTTCAAATTACTCTTCCCTCTACCAGTGCCAACACAGTGATTATTGGATAACTAACTCAACCTTGAATCTTCTGCAGCTTCAGAAGGCACTCGTGTCACTGCTACGCCTCCACTGTTCCCGGGTGACAGCTACCTAATGCCGGGTGTATGTAAAAACCTTGAACTAAATGGAAATGAACTCAATCAGTACACTATCCATACAACTGTGATACTGTACATGCAACAATGGGGCATTAGGCTTTTACTTCCTCAGAGTTGAGAAAGCTGCAGTGAAGACATGCAGTAACTGCCAATATACACCACCATTATTTTTGCATTATTAAGCACAGTCAATATATATATTCATGCACTATAATTTAAAAATACAGTAATATAAATTTTCAACATTCCAATTTAGATAATTAATATGCCATGCAAATGTTCAGCAGGTTATAAATAACATGCTAGTTATTAACTATTTTGAATTACTGTACAGTAGAAGTAATCTTAATTTTTATTTTCAACAGTTTATACAAAGAATTGTTAAAATTTTAGGGCGCTTTTCCCAAAATTCTTTCAAATGAATTAGAGAGAGCACTGTACCTTCATTCATGTGTGATGCACAATTAACAATTAAGATTTTAGTCAACAAAAGGTGAAACTCATCAGTTTTGGTAGACTAGTGACTTTGAAATACAGTAATAGTACAGTATTTACTGTCTTTTTCTAGATAATGAAAATACAGTATTGTCTTGTGGATACCCTTTCTAAATTATTTTTTTTTCAATTTATCTTATCACCTCTTACGACCTTACTGGCTGTTCAGCCGATTATCCGTCCTTTGTCATTTTTTTATGAGCTTTATTGTCCAGTGTTAATGCAGGAAATAATTGGAGTACCCAGAGGAAACCTGTGATGTTTGGTTGGGTCACTGGTTAACACCCTTCCCATGTGTGTCTCGGCCTGGACTCGAACCCATGACATAGGTAAGAGACACGTACATTAATGCTGTACCACCAACACCCATTAATACTAAAGTTAGGACTAGACCTTGTGGATAACTGTTGCCACAGAGGCATGAAGCAGATGTATTAATTTAAACATTACTGGACTTAAGTATATTCCTTCATCTCCACATCAGATTACTCCTTATAGATTTATAGCATTCTTCATCTCATTTGCTTTAAAATGTGCAGGAAAAATATCTGTTATTCAATGGATGGAGTTTGGTAGCTAATGTATTTAAACAGCACCAGCACAGGTTAATATGGTGACCTCGTCTTTGTTGTTTAAATCTCAACAATGAAGCCTCCTCAATACCTGCTAAAATGTGTTGACAAACATTGCAAAGAGAAAACACATTTCATTACTATAAAGTTCCTCAGGAGGAAGATCCTAGTTTCACCAATTTCTAAAAACCTCGGATGTAAGCAGTACGTCCTGCCTCATTGAGGGGGGGGGGGGTGTTTTTTCTCCAGAAAGTGCAAGCACATGATGCCATGACAATGAAAAACACACTGATTAGAAAATGGTGCAATATATCTGGACACTGCCCAGGTATACTGGTTAAATCCATTTGAATCTTGGAAGAATACAAACACTTCACAAGAGTCAGCCCATATTATCTTGTAATAAATCACCCATTCTTTTCAAGTGGTATGAATCTTCTTAAAAGCCTGTACAGAAGAGGGATGGGCATGTGCACCAAACATTCTTCCCCCATCACCCTTACTTTGTTGCTGTATATGATGACATGTTGAGTTATCAGCACAAATCCTGTACTGTACTCATATCATGGTACAGCACATGAAACTCACTGAACTATTTGTATCAAGATGCTAAAATATTTTTCAATCTGAGGCTACCCCTAAATTTTTTATGAAGGCTCATTCACGTCAAATTTGTAGTGAATACTGAATGGTAAATACTATATGTTAATCATGCATATATCATGGTTATTATGTCATCCATTGTGGACAAGTCTGGTTACTGTACTCTGAATCATGCATATAACACAAATTATGTTTCCTACCATCAGCCATCTTCTTCAAGACGTTGACAACATCTGACACTTCCAGGGAGAGTTCATCTGGCTGCTTTCCTACATAGGGATGAATTGCCTGTACCTGAAATACAAAGGATGCATTAATTCCTCTCAAAGTATATTATCATCAATATAAAATATTAGTTTCATTAAGTGTTGCGATATAAATAAGACAAAACTCCAAATGAGCAAGACCTTTTACTTCGTTCATTCAAAGCTTTCAGTATTAAAGAATACCAATAGTACACCAGTGGATGAACACAGAACCAAAATTCACCATCTTTCGTTTATTGACTTTCTAGAATCAGGTAACTATGCCTGTCATTCTTCAGAATTTACATGGAATTAGGAGATATAAAAATAAATAAATAAATAAAAAATCAGTAAACTTATCAAAATATCCTTTGCGTTCTAGTATGCTTTTATGAAACTGACTAACTATGACCATGCAGAGCTCCTTCTTTTCATCAACGTACCTGTGGACAGTCCCACTCCTCATAAATGCGCTCATCTGGGTTATCAGAGCTGCGTGGAGTCACTGCCTCAACCCAGCGTGTTCTGTCCGATTCCTTGGGGCACGAAACAATCTAAAACAAAGAATATAAAAACCCTTAATTCAATAAATGTAATATTTACGCAATAATATAGAATATAAGTAGGATAATCCCCACACCGTAAGTACAATTTCAAATTTAAAAACCTATTACAATATTTACAACATCCAGTATCATTTTACATTTTCGCTGGCAGCTTTTGTTGCAGTCTTACAGATAACAGACAGTAAAGATATGTCTTCATATCTAATGCATGTGAGAACCACAAGAAACTTGAGAGTGAGAGAACAAAATGAAGACTTAAATAACCTCAACAAACTTACTGCTTCTGTTTTAAGCTCAGTTTGAGTCAATTTTTACAGTAAATGAAGTTTTATGTGTATATAAATTTGCCTCAACATGGCAAACCATGACTATAATTATAAAAATTAAGTGAATTGCCCTGATACATTATCTGTCATGTAAACGGAATTGATTTACCGAGTATCAGAGACTATTGAGTTTTGGATAAGCCACAAATGATGCTGTAATGACTGCAGTACTTCACCACTTGCCACCATTTATAGTACTTTATACAATGGATGTAAAACAGTCTTCAAAACTTTAAAATTTGAGTTAAATTGACTCTTGATAGATTTACTGTATCTCAAAAACAAACATAAAACTTATTACCAGTGAAAATTTCTTGACACTGATGTAATAATAAATAAGTTCATGGAGAATTTTAGGTTTTGCAATCACCCAAGACATTACTTTAATGTTGAGAGTACAGGGTAAGACACCTGGGGAGAGGTCCATCATCAGTTAAGAGCCTAGTGATGTCAGTGAAGAAACCTGAGAACTGGCTGCTAAAACTAAATAACTGAGGAAACAAAATCAGTAATACTGTAGTTGTAAGTTTAACATACCATCTCAACCGTCTTGTTCTCGTGGTTTTGTAACATGGTCATGATCAGGAGGTTCTTGTGGCCATCTAGAATACGACCAGGGAACTTGTCAGTCGTATCCAGTTCTAGGACTTGTACCATGTTCCTTGAGCAGTAGTCCAGCACCATGTACTGATCCTCACTGGAGAATTAAAATGCATCCTAAGACAATTTACCCAAATGAACTAACAACATACCCAATACTCTCACCATGGGGCACTAAAAAAAATACAAAATACAAATTTAAACTCTTTACAAAGAACATCAATTTGTTTTAAAAGAAAGAAAAAGTATTAAGATGCAGAATAAAAATACAAACCTTTTTTTCTTAGTAACGACAAGAAGGTCGGTGAAGAGGAAGAAGTAAAGGGTACATTTTGATATTCTCTTGCCAAAGGTGAGTTTAACATCATTTTCTCTGCATGTCAGCCTTGTTAGCTCACCCTTCTTGACGAGCCAACGGGAAGCAGAGATAAGTGGAATTGCCTTTACCTCCCGAAAATCCAGCTGACGAGAAAGAATGAGCATCTCCTCCATGCGCTCCATTTTGCGGGCTCCTTCATTACATTCAGCTACGATCTGTTTGGCAACCAAAAATGCTTTTGCAACTTTGTAAAATATAAAATTCTTAGAAATTGTATCACCCTGAGTTATACTATACCTATACTATATAATCAATCATATTAACTACCACTTAGTGTAAGTGGGTCCCATAGGCATGACTGCCTCCGTACCAATAATTAATTATTAAATGTCTGACGTATCAATGGAGTTTAAAATATGAATTATGAACAGTTTTGAAATCCCTATTACATGAGCACATATATAGCATGTGTGTGTGTGTGTGTGTGTGTGTGTAGGAACAGGTGTGCACTTGCAATAGTGATATGTACCCAAATGACAGTGTGGGGGCATGTGCTCTTGGTAGCAAGTTAGTAGCTGTTTGTGGGGATTTAAGTGTGGATGCATGTACCAACTGGCATGTGCATAAGAGTGCACATGCCTAGATAACAATAGTGTGTAATCCTATACCTCTAGCAACATGTCTGTTTGGTTATAGCCATATGGCAGGATGTGTGAGAAAGCTTGAACATGTTTAAGAAGGTGTGTTTGCTTATCTTGTTCTGTGCTTGCATCTTTGTGTGATTGCATTTCCTTATATATTTGTGTAACAGTACAAAAGGTTTATCCATGTATATATACCAGATAAAATTCTGTCTTTTGTATTCATGTGGTTGCATTTGTAACTTGAATTTATCTAACCACTCTGACTTAGTTCCATTCTAATCTTATTACCTTAGTAAGAGTGGCAAGAGCCACCTTGTATTCATTCCACATAGATGTCCCATACTCAAGCCGGTGAAATATGGCATCCACAAGCAGAGGGAGTCTCGTTATTCTCTGCATGGGGAGCATAAGGAAGGAGTGCATGGCGAGGGACTGGCAGACTGGGGAAGACTCCAGACGGTTGAGCACCTCCAAGAAACGTGGATTGTTTTCTCTGTAAATCAAACGTTACTTATGAGGTGTGGTTACTTTAAATTTACACATCAATCTGACTTTTAAAAATACTGCTTGGATATAGATACATGAGTATAAGGACCATTAAAATTTACACATCAATCTGATTTGAAGATCTGCTGTCATTCAAAATTTACCTATCAACCTAACTTGTGATAATTATTAGAAACTAAACCCATGTGCAGCATACCAACTCTGTTGTTCACTACAGTAAAAGTAGGCAGCTGGTTCATTCATAATCTACTTGCTTGTAAACTTTACCCACTGAAAATCATTACACATCCAAAGGCTACAAACAAGATCAGCTAAACTAAAACTAATTGTTAAAGAATTCTACTTTGAATTGCATCATAAATGACTTAATAGCTGGAATTACCTTGTATTAAAAGAGTGAGGGCTGCTTTTGCCATCACACACAAGCACAGTAAGTAAATATGATTAAGAAATAAGACAAGGAAGAAGTGGAATTTAGGAGAAGCAATAGGAGAAGAAAATACAGGTCCAGTATTTGAAGGATAAGAATAGTATAAAACATAATGAGTCGCCAATGGAGAAGGGGATAATACTATCTTTCTCACACACTTGAGGCCAACCAACCCACTGCTTCATGGTATTACAAAGTTTATACATACAACTAGTCATTCAATATTCTTGTATTTCAATATTTAAAGGTAACACGATTCCTTTCACAAAGCAGAGGCTAATATATCAATGATAAAGCAAAAACTGTGTCGTAAAGTAATATCTTTAAGTCACATTAAAACCCAAGAACTTACTTGAGCTCCTTTAGTGTTCTATCCTGGTAGATCTGGTTGGAGCAATACTTGACATAGACCTGGAAGTGGTTATTTGCGTGCTTACAGATAATATCCGCAATTGTAGAGATCTGTACAGACACCTGCCAGCGCTTCTCTAGGTCTGCCAGGAACAACTCGGAACATCTCTTCACTGGAAAAGAAATATCACTTGGTGTAAATAAATTATCATCACAACTAAACTGTATTACAGGGAACCACATTAGTTAAAAATTAATAATAATGCAATGAATCATCAACAGTAAACGGTCATTTTTCATGTTTGTGTGGGCTAGCCATGATTACCAAGCTGAATGATCTATTGCAGTCTCTCTTGTCAGGTTATTGTCTCTCTGAGATCATTTCTTACAAACTATACCCACAGCATTCTTGGCTTACCCCTACCTCTCCTCCCATCCACATTCTAACTCGTGCATTTCTTAACCTAATGCATCTCCCTCACTTTCTCCACATGCCCGACCATCTCAACCTACCTCTGTACGGAACCTCACCAATGCTCTCAATATCAAACCACCCTCTTAGTTCTGAACAGGAATTCTTTTCTCTGAACATCACTTACACATAAAGCTTACTCATGTCAACCCAGAAAGTGTAGTACAGACCAGAGAGGGAGAGAGAGATAGTGCTGGTGTACCAGTTACTATAAGGCATATTTGAACCATTTTTTACAGGTGGATGCCCTTCCTATCACCAACCCACTTTTACAAAGTGGGAAGTAGGCATTACCTTGTATATATAGACTTCCAAGTGCCCTCTTAGCTGGCAAGGCAGGGTTGGAACTCCTTAAGGTAATCAATTATTACTAGCCTGAATGTCTACGGTTAATAATCTGTGAAATGATATGGAAAGAAAACTAAATACTGAAGCCTTACCTGGCAAAATGTCAGAGAAGAGAATGTGTCTTTCTCTTCTACTAAGCACTGCATCTTCCCCTTCATCAATGGTAAATTCAGGACACTGTACAAAATGAGTCACCAGGACATTAAGAGACTTGAGGTATGATGCCTCAGATGTTATCATTTCAAACATTGCTTCCTGGATTTTCCTTTCTTGGCTGCTGATTTGACCTGCAATACATTAACAAAATTTTTAGTAATGGCACATAGCATTCAAAATATTTCAGTAGTACTATAACTGTAAGACAATCTAATGTTATAAACTGTACCAAGATGAAGAGACTAATATAGTACAGTAATTTAAAGGTAATAATTATTTAAGATGTCTCACTGCCCTATTATTATAAGAAATAAAAATTATAATTTCAATTAACTATCACTCTTATCTACATCTTCCCAATGGTAGGAAAGGAAGTCTTGGGTAGAATCTCTCCCAAATATTTCTGCCACCCTCAGTGTTAATGAGTTATATAAATTATTTACTATTCTGAGCTAGTTTGATCATCATATAAGTGAAGCAACTGTTACTTTGTTTATATAATGTTAAACTAGAGTGCGTGGCCAGTACGAGGGCAGCAAGTATACAGGTAGGGAACGTAGAAACAGGAAAAATCAAGTACTGTATAGGTGTATGCACAAGTAATGAACACAAGCAGGATGAGCGAGAGAAGAGGGAAAATAAACAGTCACTGAAAGGTTGCAGAGAAGTAGCAGACAGTAATGCTTCAGCAACGAGAATGTGACACACAAATGAAAAACTAACAATACAATAGCACTTGCATGAAACCAAAAACTCAACAATAATATTAATGAAAGTCTTAAGAAATGAAACTGGCTCACACAACAAAACCAACACATTAGATACATACTTAGTAAACCACTTTCAATGACTTCAGGTAATTCACACCACAATGTCCGTCGGCCATCGGCTGGGGTGACGAGCTCCATGGCAGAAGGACGTGATTGTAACTTCACTGCTTGTGGGTTGTGGTGTCCATCGTTGATAACCTGGCAACATAAAACTTAACATACAATACATGCTTTATATAATGTACAGTACTTATAAATTTTCTTAACCTGTTACTGTCAATAATGTTTACTTTAATAGATGATACAAATTGCATCTTATTAACTTTACAATAACATTTGACCATCTATAAAGAAATCAATGTACAGTCATTTACTAAAAAATGTATTTCATAATCTCAATTACAACATTCACAACATCCCCATTCCTCTCCTAAGTTAAACAATATATACCTACTTGCTTGCACTCAATGAGAGGAATCTACATCAGAAATATAAATAAGTAAATACAGTACAGAATCTGCAAGGCACATAAGCAGATGCAAATAATATATCCTCTTTAACAGGAAGAAGTAAACAGTTTCAACCAACATTACCTCATAATCATCTTCTGAAGAACAGTCACCCTGGTTCTGGGCAGCTCGCTCTAACACTGTAGCTGTGTAGAACTGGTACAGTGGCTCGTCTGCAAAGTGTGAGCTAACATACAGTGGCTCATCCTGTATTAAAGCATTACAGCTGAAGTCCAGATAACTATTATTATCCCCATCCATGAGACTAGATGGCATGTGAAGAAAAGTGGGCTGGGATCTGTTTGAGGTTGATGACTTGGAGTTTGCTGCATACGTTGATGGGGTACGTCTTGCTGGTAATGGAGGTGGTGCTGATGCAATATCCCCAGGGCGAATGTAGCCTTCACTTGAGCCGTGTGATGCAACAGACATACGAGCCTGAGGAACATTAAGCTTTACAGAATGAGTTATGTCTATGCCTAGCAGTTTTTCATCTCCACTGGAATCCCCACCAGGATAGGCATTGGCCCCCAAAGTACTCATGTCAATGGTGGCATATTTGATACAATTGGGCCGTAGTCCAAAACGCACACTGTCTTCTGGGTGAACCAAAACAGGAACAGGGGAGGTGTCACTGCTTGAACCCTCAGAAGTACGAAGCACTCGACGACCAGGAGGGGCAACAGGTCCAGAAGACAACAATTGGTTGAGTCTAGATGCAACATCAACTTTGCTGAGTTCTTCTCCTTCACTTCTCCCAGAAAATGCTTCACTGCTCTTTTCTGCAATATAAAAATTATTCATTAAACACAATACCTAGGAGACATTAGAAACAAACACACACTGTACACTACTTCTTAATTTAATTTCTACAGTTAGTAAAAATCAGTTTCTATTTTGACAATAGGGAAGAGTTTGAAATTAAACCTTTTGGTGGCGGAGCAGGTGGTGCGGTACGTGGTCTTACTGGACCATAACTTGGACAGCCTATGGAGCTCTTTCTGTTATAAGTGACAGAGGTAGGACGTTTTACTGGCACGGCATTCTCAGAAGAGCCTACAGTGGTTACCGAGGCTATGGATGATGTGTTGGACTTTTGGTACTCGTGGGTGCTGGTAGTTGACAAGACACTCTCAGAGTCAGAGCGAACAGTTCGCTGGGAAGCATCTGACATCTCCCCAGCATCCTGACCACTGGTTTCAATAGTTAAGGTAAGATAAAATGTGGCACTATCTTTCTTTGAAGGAGGTCCCCCACCACTAACAACAGTGGTAACAGAGCCTGATGAGGATTTCCGTCTAAAATGACTCTTAAAGGACCATTTCCTTTTATTTTCTGCACTAGTGGGACTGGCTTCACCTGCAAGATCTGCAAAAATAGTAATATTCAGTATGCACCACACCACGTGACCTTTACCAGGGTAAATTTGAAGAAAAATGTTCAGAAAAAGACAAATCAATGGAAAATTTAGAAAACTGACAAAAATTAATCAAGAACTTGACGAAAGTTTTAAAATTTACAGTACAATATGTGTAAACCATTTTATCCAAGTCAATGTAAAACAAAAAGAAGTACAGTATTCATGCTCACCAGGTACTGTGTTCTCTATAATCTTAAAATTATCATTACTGGTTTACTTATATCTACTGGTACTCTTCCAGTCTCTGTAAAAGTACATTAATTTCATAAAAATCATCATGCCCAATACCAACAGGGTCACACAGAATAACATCCTTCTCACATCTAATCCAAGTCAGAAATTTAACCCAGGACACAATGGTGAGAGGCAAGCACATTACTGCTGTACTAACAACATCTTTCACACTAAAAAGTTCTTTTCATCAACAACACAAACTTACTTTCTGTACTCTTCATGTCTGAAACACTGAAGGTACTTTTCTTCTTTATTCGACTCAAGCCTGTTCTGACTTCATTTTTTGTCAATGACCAGTTCCGCCGCAGTCTCCGCATTCCTAAGTTTGCCGCTTCTGCAATCTTGGTGATCCCATGTTGCTGCTGCTGTTGTTGCTGCTGTTGTAGGGGACTCTCTGGTTGCTGTTTGTCAGAGGCAGACACTTCAGAGCTCATGGATTCTGCAGGATCCCTTGATATTTGTGAACTGTCATCTGGAAACTGAAATGAAATGTGCTGTATTGAACCGAGGTATACTGTACTGCACTAATAAATAAAGAAATGCATCTATTATGACCAAATAAGTGTAATAACTGAAATGATATAAAAATAAAATAACTAATACTGTACTGTATAGCAAAGAGGTTAAATGACATCCCTTATGTTTCCTCACAAGCATTATTGACTTACTTGAAATATTGTACTGATTAATTGCAATAAGATGAAGAGTTATCAAAATTTACTTATATACAGTCCTTGGTTTGCATTTAGGAAACAAACAGTAAAATAATTATCAGTGATTTTTGTTGACAATTTTAATACTGTATATGATCTTAAACTTTAGGATGACTGAAAGCACAAGTTATATATACTGTACTATATGCACTCATGTCTATAAATGTGTACTGTAATTACTGCATAGACATATGCACTTGGGAGAGTAAAAACATAGATAAAACACAATGCAATTACAAATATAAATACTTAGGTCACTAGTATCTTACCTGGGGCCTCAGTCGACAATACGCATCATCCGAGTCATCAGAATCAAAGGAGTCGTCAAACTCGTTATCCTCGGTGCGGTGGAAACATTCGTCCTCCGCCGGGCTGATAACTTCATATATGGCCTCGTAGTGACCCGTCGCTGGGTCCTCCTCTTCCGAGTCTCCTCCTGAGTACGCCAAGTAAAACCATATTAAAGTCTCAAGAAAGGACGGAATCTTATCTAAAACTAAGACACATTGTTTAGTGACAGTAAATATATTCATTCCATGCAGTTGTGTGTTTTATCTGTTAGGGTGTTAGTTATTTCCCACGCCTTCACTGTCAAACTGTAGAGCTTAAGTCAGGTCAAATATAGTGTAATAATTGCATTATAATATAGTCTTCTCTACTCATACTGTATTGAATTTCGTATTTTATCTCTATATACAATGAGAAATTTGTATTTCAGTGCATACAGTACCAAAAATACTGTAATATTTTTCTGATGTTACAATTCATGTGGCTGTCTTGCAGTGGACAATATGGTACGTATAATATGTATAATATATAGTCATCATAGAATAGGAAATGTTGGAAATGTACAGTATACAGTAATGTCTATTTCCTTATTTAAAAAAAGTAGAACTGATAGGAAACATAATCACCTAACCATCAGCACCAGTTTTATGATCAACACGATGAGCAAAACTGACCTGTACTGCACTCTATGCCTGAACCTTTGCTGTACTAGTGACTGTATGGATATTTCCAATGAAACTTTTTAATCTAAGCGGGTATTCATAATAGTATAATGTAGCAAGTACCAGCAGATTATTTTTGTACTTATCAATTGTGGAGTCGATTAGCATTGCATAAGAGATGAGGTTCTAAGCTTCGTCAAATAACCTTATACAAAACACTTCACATAAAAAAATCATACTTGCTATCTCGGATTAGTTTTAAAACACTCCCGGATTTTCCAGACATCTCATGGTCATTAATATGGTTTTAGATTCACCCAGAGCTGCATGTACAAACGTTGATACAGTAAATTACACTTCCAATAAGTTTAATTTTATTTGGGTTATGACAATACAAGAAAATGCCAAATTAAAGTCTAATTTTTAATATAATAAATAAATCCACAGCAAGTAAACTCCTTAGACTTGTGAGGGAGTGTCAGTGGTCCAGGTATGTGAGGGTGCCTAATGGGTAGCAATTACTGTATAACGTAACTCCCAATGACGTGAGCTGTGTAGGCCAATTTTCCCTTTACTCTGCCTTACTCCTGAACCTCCTCTCTCTCTACAGTGTGTAACCTAACCCAACCACAAAAGAAATTCTCCCATGTTTGTTTCCATCACTCAAAATATTACAAAGGGGAAGAGAATATGAAGATGTTAAGACTAAATTTTGTATTCGAAAATAATAAATTGTGCTCAAGGCTTGATGAAATGGGTGTAATTATAACTTATTAGTTCCTAGTTAGTTTCACCACTACTGTTTACAATATGTACAATAAAGGTCACCTCTAATAATTATCCACCAGTTATACCTTATCTACAATTAACAAGAGGGTGATGGCCAAGTTTGGTAGGTGTGTGTGTGTGTTTAGTTTTATATTATTAGCATTGTAAGTAGTTGTTTATTATTATTATTATTATTATTGTGAGATTTTCAAGTTTGGACCCTTGAACAGTATCTAAATCCTTATAAATACTATTGGCAGTCAAATTTTACAGTAAGGTGTCCATGTCTTAACTCACACCAAAATTTAATAAATTCAAGTTAGTGCGTTGTGAACTACTAAACTTTCAGAAGGTAGTTATAACAGAGGTCAGGGGAGGTTTTGAATGTCTAGCACGCGGTGTACTTGAGGATGGCACCATCACCACCACCGCCACCTTCACTTATTAATGGCCTATTGACCAAGGCCACTGTGGCGGACTACTTTCATAATAGTAAACTGCATCTGATAGTAACAGAGTGGCACTGTCAGCTCTATATATGTCACTAAAAAAATTCACTAGACCCAAGTTTGTCATGTCAAGTTATGTTGTTATAAATACAGTTTTGAACCAACACTCTACAGACAGTACATGAAAAATGGTTACTGATTTAAGAACACGAGCATGAACAGTGTAACCTTTATATAACTGGTCACTTAGTCGGAATTCCACGTCGATTATCGTAATAATGGACTTGGACACTAATTATAAAAAATTAAAATAAAACAAGGGTTAATACATTACATACATTACAAATATACAAAATACAGCAGCTACATCCATGGGATATTTGGATAATTGTAGGTAATAAGAGAAAATACAGTCGGTACATGCAACTACAGTACTTCATACCTGTCATGCAAACAAAGCAGACGCCACTTACTATCACCGCCCCCCCCAGTGGTGCCGCTGGGTTAACATGATGGTTAAGATAAACTCCATGATATAACTCACCTTCCATCAGAGGAGAAGAGTGTGCAGGACCTCTAAATAAGAGGGTGACTCACCTGACCGTCAGGCCCACAACAGGTACACTTAGGTCATGCGTAGGTAATGTCACAGACAGCAGGAAGACCGCTCCTACAGTCATCACCAAGTCGACACTACTCATTAACGAGTCTATCAAGTAGTACAAAAGCGTGATGACGTCACAGTTTCGTCACAAAACGTCACTTTACGTCATACAACGTCAACAACACATTGCTATCATGCTGGTGGGAACCTTGGGGGGCCCCCTAGCCGTTGTCAAGTCAGGCTGGCAGGAGCAGCAGCGGCAGTAACACTTCCGCCTGCTTCTGCTCCTGCTACTGACTTCCACTAGTACAGACTTTGTAATGTTACAGTCAAGTTGGCCCTCCGCGGCAGGTTAGACTACACAGCAGAAGATATAAACATTCTAACAAGTAGTCATAGTTGCCTAGTGCGTCTACCATGACCAGGTGAGGTGAAGGACGTCAACAATATACATTAATACTCTACTAATGATGTATTACAAGTGGTCTAGTTAGGTGTCCTATTCCATACGAAGGTCTGTAAGAAAAACTCGCCCTTACAAACCTTCCACATAAAGACTGATCTCCTGGGACTCATTGTCATCGCCGTCGTAGAAAATACTCCTGATTTTGGCACTCTCGTAGTAGAGGCTGCTGGAGGTGCTGGCGGCGGAGAGGAGGGAGGCGTTGTAGTAGCCAGGGGCGTAAGCGGTGTCGTACTCGTTGGGTTCTGACTGTCCCAACACGATGGTAGACGATGATGTCACGTACACTGCAGGGTGATCAATGACGTCATAATGTACAGGGTGATCAATGGCGTCATAATGTACAGGGTGATCAATGACGTCATAATGTACAGGGTAATCAATGACGTCATAATGTAGAGGGTGATCAATGTCGTCATATTTCCAGGTTAGGATCACCTAGCCAGGACACACTTTAATATGACTAACTCGTTAAGTCACTTTAAGGTTACGTCTACCTACTGTGACCACGATATAAAATGCTACTTCGAAAATATGACGAAAACAAATACAAGTAAAATGATTTAGACAGACCAAGTGTAGGTAGTTTAGAGAGAGAGAGAGAGAGAGAGAGATCCACAATGGCGATACTGAAGGGTAATGACCAAGAGCTCTTCCCTCCCTCCCTCCCCCTAGAACACACACACACACCTACACACACTTCCTGCCGCCACACACACACACACTCTTGTTCTTGGCGGAAACATCACCTCCACCAACATAATATAACAGTATATATATATATTACTACGCCACTCTCCTGTCCTCCTATGACAGTTATCTCACCCCAGGATGAACAAGGCCATCACCACTACCCCCAGGACGACTACACACTACTGATAAACAATGTGACTTTAAGAACAAGTACCAAACCTTTAGTCTTTCAGTCTAGTATATGAAAAAAAAGGGCAGATTATGACCTCAAAATCGTAACCACATCGCCTGAGTGTCCAATCAAAATGCTGAGGCTCTGACGAAGTGGGTATGCCTGCCGCTGATTGGACCAACACAGTGACGAACAATAAATTATTCTCACAGTGCAATTGAGACGACTGCTACTTGACTGACACCTCCTCTATATCACACGCAGGATATAATAATGTAATGGTAAACAGGAATATTATTTTTACTACGTATTAATTAGTATGAATCCCACTAATGAAGAGAAATACGAATTTACGTTTTATAATTGGGGTTTATTTTCACCGAGTTCTGACGTCATTAATTATCCCAGATAGATGGTGATTACAAACGTCTAAACAGGTACCAGGGTTGTGAGAGAGGGAGGGAGGGGTGGGAGGGGGGAGGGGGGGCGTGGGCATGGGCAGCAGGAAGAAGATGAGAGAGAGAGAGAGGGACGTTGTCTTTCTGAAGGTGACCTGGAGGAGGAAGGGGTCTTGTGGCGCGGTGTTGTCCCGCCTCGGTAACTCCTGGACCTGGATACATCCCTCACCAACTAATACAAACGTTCACACACACACACACAAACACACTTTCTCACACGCACAAACACACTTTCACATACACACAGACGCAATAAATGGTTCGTGTGAGCCAAGGCACAAGACTGACGTAACGTTGTTCCCCCCTCAGGCTACCCTCTTCCTTCAGGCTACCGTCCTCCTTCAGGCTACCACCCTCAGCTACTCCACTACCTCACACCCGGCCCTTTCAAAATCATTCTTCCTCCCACGGCCTTCCAAGACAGTTCCAAAACCATATGTGTGTATGTATGTATGTGTGTGTGTGTGTGTGTGTGTGTGTGTGTGTGTGTTAATACCTAACGACCCAACTCTTCTCACACAGATATAAACACAATGCATCACCTGAAGATAAGATACCCCAGCTTATTTTACCTGATTAAACACCCCTAACGTTACCTGGCGGTGGGTATAGATTAGGTTAGCATTAAGGTGTATATAATCACCAGGTAAAATAAACTAGGGTGTTATAATCTTCCTGGGATCCTAATTACACCTACTGGAGGGGATGAGATGTGTGCTGTGTCCCTTTAAGCTGTGTCTAACTCAACTAATATGACAAGACCTCAGACTCATCACCCGACTTTGTGTCTCATCCTTCCGCAGGACAGTCAAGACACCTCAAGGGAACACAACAGAACTCCTCAAGGACGCAATACCTGTATGAATACCTACTTCCTCG